GCTGACGTTAACTCCACGGCCCCAACCTCTTGGAATGGGATTAATTAAGTTTTTCCATAGCCACAAACACCTCGGTGCCACCTGTGAACCAAAACCACGGTGAGAAACTGTCCTCGCCAGCCGCACGAGAAACTGTCCTCGCCAGCCGCACGACAATCTTTGACGCCAGGGCAAGCGCCATTTTGCGCTGGAAACTTTCTGATGCTACCGCGTGTTGTTTCTACGACTCCCAGCGCGCGATGGGTAGCATCCAACAATACCTAATGTCTAGGAGCCTGGAGCCGTTCCCCATCATTTTAGTCGCGCAGCGGCACGGCCATTTCTTTGTAGGTATAAACCCACCATGGAGGTATCCTGACGATTACACATTCACCTAGCAACCAAGCAATGTATGAACCCTTCTAACAAACCGGTGACGTGTCAAAGAACGTCTTCGCCGTTGATGCCCACAAGTCCGCACCGAACCACCCACCAACCTCATAAACTCGAACGGTATACAACGATCGCCCCACACACACAAGGAATCTTCTCATCCATCGTCAAGCGAGGCGGCAGTGACGGAGGGGAACTCATGGCAGCGAAGGAGCACCAATCACTTTCTTTGTGCTCTCCATGATCTACATCCCGGCAGCACTCGGTGGACTCTGTTGCGGAATGCCCAAGCCGCATGCCCGCATCATCGAGTTATTTCCAAGGGTGGAGAAGGATGGGTGTCTTTGGTTCCTGGCGTGGAGACTGGTCTTTGTTGTGTTGCTACCGTGGCCTGTAAATGCGATCGGTTAGGTTGTTTTTCGGGCTGGAACCGACACTTGGACGAGTGCTTCGATATATTGTTTCGGCGAGGGGCAGACCTGCATGGGGATTGATTGGAACAGACTATGGAGACGTAGGGGGGATGCTACTCAAGAACAGGGTGAGGGAGGTAGTAAGGACTTGGAAGAGGGGGGGGAGCGCGGTGTGGTGATGAGCATGCAGAAACTCTCGATGAATTGGAGGATGAGGGTGAGGCGGTGGAGCTGCTTGCTTATCGGCAGGGTGCTGATGGATGATGTTGAGCGCAACTAGCACATATGTATGATGTTACGTGGCAAGTAGCCGGTTATATGCGTAAGCCTAAGTCGTCAACACATGATGATATGCATCCTGGAACTAAGATAAACAAGCAGTTCCATGTGTAAAGCATATCCTTGGATGTATCGAGTTGACCTTGGCAGATATTGGGGACATTTCTTGATTTGTCAAACAAACAGTTATATGTGTCAAAGATGTTACTTTACTCTCTAAACACCTCAAGCCTAGCCCTACCAGCCATCAACGTCCACAGCCACAGGCCATCAACAATAAGAACATCAGCAAAACTAAACACCAAACTTCCGCCAAACACAAAACTATGGTATGTCCAAGCGTTGCCTGCATCAAGTTCTGTCACTTGACAAACAATGGCCCAAGGAAGAACATACAAGAAATTGCTCACGAGACTCTGGTACAAGTACCACTTGGGCCTTGTAGCAAGTAATACCGTCGCCAGCTGAGTAGAAGCAGCGTAGAAAATGTAACACCAGTCAATCGTCCGCCACATGTACGCCGTCACCTCCGCAACCTCGTCCGAGTCGCTCAAATACCTTGCAAACGACCTTGCTCCCCATATCGACAAGAAGATGGCTAAGGGAACTTCTACCAGCATCGCCAGCCCAAACGAGGCCAAAGCTGGCTTCACGATTCTCAAGATTACGGGTTTGAAAGGCACCTTGTTAGGTCTTCGTGTTGCTGTACCAATCTCCCGTCTCCATGCCCCCCAATGGTGACCGACAAAGGCCAGGGCGGTGGCCTCCAATGAAAGCACAGGTACCATCACCAGCCCCCATCGGATAGTGTTGAAGATCCCCCATGCAGTGGCATAAGTCGACCCCATCGATACGATATTACTCACCAGCCACAGGTAAAGCGCATTTCTCACTGCCGACTCGATAAGAGTGAGAATGCCGGGCCGAAGAAGAACAGCCAAAGACCTGACACTGGGGGTTATATTTTCTCGCGCCTTATAATTCCGCCAGCTAGTTCTCCAAAGAAAATAAAACAACCCGCAAATAGCAGCAACCATGTTGCACGCCAGTTGGATACCTGCCTGCATGTTTACCGTGGGTGCATGGCCGCCAACGTGGAAAGTGGAAATCAGCAACAGGTCCAACACGATGTTGATGCCAAATTTGGCACTGTTGATCACCAACGGAACGTCGGGCTTGTCGAGTGCTCTCGTGGCGGACGCGACGGCCGTTTCGATGGCTGAGCTGAGCGCAGAGAAGGCGCTGATGCGGATGTAAGTGAGGCTGGCGTCGCGGACTTCGATGGGGACGAAGCCCTTGGCAAAGGTAGAGGCGCCACCGAGGAGGGCGAGGCTCATCACCAGACCGAGGACGGCCTGGAAGAGGATGAGGGTGTGGGAGAGGGAAAGTCTGGCGGGGAGAGGGCGGGAGGATTTATCACCGATAATGACCCTTCAAAGGCGTGTCAATATTACCACGAGGTAGCAAAGAAAAAGAGGGGAAGGGCTGGAATCACCAGGCGGCGCGGGGCAGGCCTTCATTCAGGACCTCGGCGAGGACACCAATGTATGTGTAAACATCTGTTGTCACGACCATGGAGCGGTCGATATTTGCGACCCAGAGTTTGGAAAGTGTGTTGTAAAGAGCGGGAAGGATGAACGAGGCTGTGTTGAAAATGAGCGCGCCAGTGTAATGACTGCGTAGGTCGTGGTGAGGCTGAGGGTCATTCGAAACATGGCGGTCGTCGTCTGAGGGCAGAGCCCGTTCATCTTGAGCCACCATTCTGTACCCCAGTCGATTACGAAGATGGTGCAGTAGGGAAGACATGGCCGAGTTGAGGAGGCGGACACCTTCCATGTGTTAAGTTTTTCATCTCTGGAGGGAGGTGCGCCATGAAGCGGGGTATCCTGCAAGTTGACTTTTGGGTTAGGTAACAAGCACAGTGCTAAAAGTCAGCCAGTGAACGCCTTCTACGGCTGTAGGCCTCAACTTATCATGAGACCTTGGATTGCCAGGTTCTCTGCCACTTGAGGGCGGGCACCACTCAGGGGTGACGGCAACAGCGCCTCCAGGCATCCAAAGTTGGTTGAGAACGACCAATAAGGTAGCTTACTCGACATCACAACAGGCGCGGCTTATAGAGATCATCAATCCATGGCAAATACCGAGGGATCGCGGTTTCGACGTGGGCCTGGGTCCCACCTGATCAAGGTCCAGTGCTTCAGGAGGCGGAGCTGATACAGGTCTGGCGACCCACGACGATGGTCACAGCCTAATGGGATGGGCAGTCTTAGTGCACGGTTCTTCACCTCTTACAAAGGAAAATCGTGGTCAGCCCCCATACTCCTTCCTTGACCACCAAGAACTCCACCGAGAATACGGCCGCTGTGTTCTCCGCCAATTGGGAAACTTGGACATCAATGCCGCCTCGGGTCCGAGATGCCACCTGACCTGTCTCATTGAGTAGATATTTATACCTCCCCATATCTCTCCAGGGATCTTCTGCTCTCCCCGTCTACCGTCTTTTTGCGCAACAATCACTCTTTTTGCCAGACAACCGTGACAACAGACAATTTGACAAGCGGATCAACAAGACCAACATCCATCATGAAACTCTCGACCACCTTCGCGCTGTTCCTCAGCAGCATCAGCACTGTCCTGGCCGGCGACCGTGTTTGGGCTGCCCAGGACTTCGGCAATGCCACCTTTGTCACCGACACGGACGATGCGTCGAAGGGATGGAAGGTGATGTGGAGCAAGAACGTTTCGGCGCCCGACGTCTCGATCCATTATGTCCCCGGAGGCGGCTACACTCATGGAGATTACGGCAATCCCCTCTGGACAACCACCGTGACTGAAGGCACAACTACCACGTACACCACAACATTCTCGTCCATCGCCACCGCGACCGAAACTGCCAGGTGCCCCGAACACAACAGCGATGCTGCTCCCCACTGGGCCTTGGACGTCTTCGGCGATCAGTATTGCAACGCCAAAGTTGTGAGCACCATTACACTGATCAGATACGGGACGTTTTGCCTCGGTACGCCAAACGGCACCAAGGGCGCCAGAATCGGGACATGCATGATGGGCGGATGCAGCAGTGAGTTTCTCCTGGTTTTCTTGAGCTTGGATGTATGGCTGGTTGGCTGACATTGTACCCAGCGACTTTGTTTCAGGACGAGAACTGCAACATTGGGCCTACTCACATCGAGAATGAGTTGGACTGCATCCGACTGGACCCTGACCTCGAGATTAAGTCGTTGGTCATTGCTTGCTAGACGGAGCGGCGGGATGATACTCGGATTGCCAGACCTGAGCTGTTGGCAAGGAGTCATGGCGGTGGGGGACATGCTGGGACATTGTCATCTTGCGAAGAGATTTTTGGAGGAGGGAGCAAGATTTCTAGCAATAGTTATGAAGTGATTCGCCAGACAGAGTAGTCACTCCCAATTCACTCTTTCTATGCGTTTCAATGACTGTTGATTATTGATTGCAATGTGTTTGCTTTTACGCGATCCGAGGTGACCACCTTCATGCTGCCGTCAAACAAGACCGCGCTCTTTCAGCTTCCTCTGTCTTTTCAAGGCTGGCTTGCAATGAAGAATCATGATGCTCTGCTCTGGTAAGGCTCACTGCTCCAGGAAGAGGAAGAGGAAGAAAAAGAAAAAGAAAAAGAAAAAGAAAAAGAAAAAGAAAAAGAAAAAGAAAAAGAAAAAGGGAAGACAAGTGCCAAAAGAATGTGTGGACTCTCCCGCCGGGAATTGAACCCGGGTCTCGAGCGTTGTTGGATGACAAGCTCACATACTGACCACTATACTACGGAAGATTTGCAGATGTGATCACCTGCTGTAGCTGTTGGGCAGTGTCGAATTGTGGGTATAAGTGTTTGTGGGAACGGAGGGTATGTAGAAAAGAGAAACAGAAGTTGTCTTGTTTCTCTCAAGCATGCAAAAACGATCCGCCCAGGGGTCGAACCTGGAACCTCCTGATTGTGTGATTAGATAATCGTAGTCAGACGCGCTGCCATTACGCCAGCGGACCTTGAATTTCGATGTAACGTTGGGATGGGCTGCGGCTTTATGAGCGCCAGGGTCGGAATGCTGCTAGAACTCGAAATAGATGTGAATAGCTGTCAGAATAGAAGCACCAAAAGGAGCCTCTTATTTTTCAGTGGTTGACAAATTTTGTGGGCCCGGACTTTAGCGGACTTTAGAAGCTGCTGTGTGCGCAACCATCAGCCCCTGAGGATGCATGTGTCTTGGCATGCCTTTGATGGTGGTCTGGAAGTCGCACTTGAGACAGAAAATCGGGGTGGGGGAGTGCGAGGAAAGCCATCGTGTGTTTTACTGATCAAAGATATGACCTTGATTGGAAATCATGGTTAACACCGTTAATGCCGGTCTCAAATGCTGATTCATGAAGGGAACGAAGCGTTTGCTGGTATGTTCGAGTCATGTATATAGACCAGCTCTTCCAGCTCATTGGAAACCTTTTTGTCGAAAGTATATCACAATTATCGCGCCATATACAAGTCTTCCACCAACCTCTTCAGCCAAGTACCTAGCCAACCAACCTTCTTCAAAATGACCACCGACAAGACCATCGTCCTTATCACCGGTTAGCTCCCCTTTGTCCCCTTCCCCCTTCCAACCATCGTTACTAACAAGAACCAATCCCAGGTGCCACCAGCGGCATCGGCCTCGAAACCACCATCGCCCTCTCCAAGTCCTCCCCCTCTTACCACTTGCTCCTCGGCGCCCGCAACGTCGAAAAGGGCGCCACCGCCCTCGCCAAAATCCAGTCCGAGCACGGTTCGGCATTGCTGTCCCCCATCGACGTCATCCACCTCGACGTCACTTCAGCCCCCACCATTGAATCCACCGCGTCCTACCTCGACTCCCACTTCGGCCGCCTCGACGTCCTGATCCAAAACGCAGGCATCATCGTTCACCACCCCTGCCCAACCCTCGAAAACCTCCGGCAGACCTTTGAGACAAACGTGTTTGGCGCGAAGGTTCTGACAGAGGCGATGGTGCCGCTGCTGAAGAAGTCGACTAACCCGAGAGTGATTTATGTGAGCTCGGAGCAGGGGAGTATCACGCTGAGGTTGGACCCAGAGTATAAATACAAGAATACGAGGGGCACAGAGTACAAGATGAGCAAGGCTGCGCTGAACATGCTGGCGGCGTGTGATCGGTACGAGTTTCGGGAGTGGGGGGGGAAGGTGACGGCGTTTAATCCAGGGTGGTGTGTCAGTAATTTGACGGGGGAGGGGGGAGGAGGATGAGGATTGAGGGCGGCGCGAGGTCGGCAGAGGATCCGGCGAGGGCGTTGGTGGAGGTCCTGGAGGGGAAGAGGGATAGGGATGCGTGGGAGGAGAGTGGGATTTTGGATTTGGATGGGGGGTTAGGCCTTGGTGATTGGGTAGTGGTTGGGTGGTGATATCAGGGCGGCATTTCCAGCATGACGATGATCTTTCGATGTAACTGGGTGGTTGTTATTTCTCTCCATTCGGTCGTTCGCTATAGTGGCTAATAACTCAGCTTGCATTGACGATGTAGATTCAGATTACAGAATGATAGCCATATCAAAAGCCATGCGTACAAGATACCGTATATCTGACACCCAACCTCGGCATCCCTTCAGATATCATCAAAGTAAAACCCATCAAAGAAGTCATTGGAAAACCTTTTCTTCAAGTCCTTCAGGCTCCACCCATGTTTCTTTCCAATCTCAGCCAACAGCCGCTTAAACTCTTCCTTTTCCAACCTGTAGTCTTCCGTTTTCATCTTCTCCACCCACGGCCTCCCATCAACCTTGATCTCATGCCACTGCTTCGCCCAATGAGGCCTCGTGTTGATCCTCTTACCCTGCCTATCCCGGTACGACAACCACTTCCCAATGACCTCCTCCGCATACGGCACCCACATATCCCTCGCCGCCTCCAACGTCAACACCTCGATCGCGCACGTCCCCAGCGCATTCCCCTTCTGAGGCGCCATGACGATGTCACTGCCCCCCATGATCCTCATCTCAAGGGGCATCCGTTGAGGACAGCCCTTGCTGCTGTGATCATAACACGTCAGAATCGCATCCCACCACGCCCTCCTCACGACGGCATAATCCGGCTTTGTCGCGTCGTTTTCAGATGGCTGAAGCGGTATCTCCACTTCGACGTCCAGCACCCGGACATTTTGAATCCCCCGCTGGAAATGCAGCGCATCCGGGAGATAAGTCTTCACCGGCTCGTCCCAGGCTGGCAGAGCAAACATCGCCGCTCTTGAGATGAGCGTCACCGCTGCCTCGTCGAGGTGGAGAGTCTTGATCAGCTCGTTCAGCACCGTCGCGTTCTGAAGGACATTCATAGTAAACTGGCTGATAAACATGAAAAACGTCTGAACATTCGACGGATAATCCTCCGTGCCTGAAGGGTCAGTGGTGGTATCCCAGCAGTTGACCCAGCACAGATCCGAGTAAGGAAACCAAAACCACTCGGTGTAGAACCCATTTGTCGCAATCTTCTCAAACTCCGCAATGTCATCGGCTCTCTGCTCGGGTGTCCAATCTGCCAGCCGCAAAGCAGGGGGTATCTCATCATCTCTCATATCATCCGGCGGGGGGATGGCCCTCAAAACAGGGATCTTCTGCGGCTTCATCAGCGCGTAGCTCATCGGTTCGAATTCCAGGGTGAGGTGCGTGATGACACCCATAAGACCAAAACACCCCGCTGCTGCCCGGAGCAGCCTGGGGTCGTCAACGACTTGAAGGCGGCCGTTGCAGTCGACGTATTCGACTTTGCGGACAAGATCGCTGAGTGTCTTGTGCCGACGCCCAGCACCGTGACATATCGGGGCGTTGGTTCCGCCGACGGTCATCTCCACCATGATCACATTCAGCGGGTAAGAATACTTGTTGTTCTTAACGCACCACCGCCGGAGTTGCTCGTTAGTTGTGCTCGCGCCAATCCTAACAAGAGCATTCCCTTTCATCCTAGGGGTTCCGGAGACAACTTCAAGCGTTTGGAGTTCGTTCTTGTGAAGCAGCCACTCCGGGAGGACTTTGGATAAAGCGGTGAAGTTGGGGATCTTGGTCGCTTCGGCGAGGCTGAGGAGGGAGATGGTGATTTGCCCTTGGCGGCCAAAGATGGGCGCCCATGAGTGGCGGAAGCCGGCGCAGCGGACCGACATGTCGTTGTCGCGAGCGTACTTGACGATGCGCTGGACCCCGGCAACCGAGTTGGGGATGCAGGTGTACTGCGGGGTGTAATCGACGACTAGGCCCCAGTTTTGGAAGGGGGCGTCTTTGTACACCTAGACCGAGGATTAGTATCTGCCGACTTGAGTCGTTTGTGACAAACTTACAATGACATTGTGCTCATCCTCGTGGTCAAGGAGCATGTCCTTCAGCCTGTGAGCAAAGGCATAAAACAAGCCGTCCTTGTGCTTCAGCCAGTCGAGACTACTACTCCCGCTCAAACCAGCAATGTCGACTTGAGTAGGGGAGTGACCGTTCAAACGGACACCATTGCTGCCATTGGTTGAGGGAATCCCCAAAGCTTGGACTCCGCTGGAAGAAACCTGAAGGCAAGGGACGCCAGTCAAGTGTTGAAGGTGGTCACGAACACCAAGGCTGACACACATGTCGAAGCCTTCCGAGACGTCTTCCAACGGCTTATCATCAGCTACAAACTTCTCGACGCGGTCTCTTTCGTCCGATGTGAGACGGTCAAGACATTCCTGGTAGGCAAAGTCATACTCGGACTCGCGGAAGACGCGAAGCAACCGCTTGTGGAAGTCGGTTGACTCGACAGTGACGTCTGGGCTGAGGTACTCCCGGAGAAGAGTGCGGAGGCCGGGAAGCTTCTTGCGGATGTCGTCGTTGTCAGAAAGGCCGTCGGCGATGAGACCGATGCGCTCGTCGACGTTGTGGTCCCAGCAGCTGGTAGAGGGGTGGTGAGAGTGGGCCATGTTGACTTGACTTTGAATGTTTTGCTGACAACCTGCAAGTACTATCTCCAGCTAAATTTATTGTATCTCTTGAAGGGAGGCGCAAAGACACATGGCAATCATACAAAAGCTTGAGGGAAAGTTCGACGCGAAGTGTCTGGAAACTCCTGGGTTTTTAATCTTGCTTCCGGCCATCATGTTCCACCGTCAAAGACACCGTGCTTCACACCAATCCTACACCAACAAAAGCCCCACCCCCACCGAGATCCTAAAGAATCAGCGTACGAGAAACCATGTCAGCCGTGGCGTCCACATCCCTTAGGATAAGGAATGATTGATAGCCTTCTTGTTACCCTTTCTGGCCAGTCCCGGAAGGCTGTGTTCTCGCCAAGGGGTCATAAAGGCCGCCGGATGCAGCCAAATTCTTGTGGTGGGTGACCTCCACCGAACTGGTTGGGCGAGTACCATCATAGGGCTGAGCTGACCCCGGAATTTGTGTGCGCTCCTATGAGCGCTGATTGGTTCGAGCCCGGAGGAAAAGCGCTGAGGCGTGCATATGCAAGGTGCTGGTGGTTGGGCATGAAACTTTCCGCAGGATCATGTGCAGACGGATAAGCAGCCAGATCACGTATTGACTGCCAATAGGAAGGGAAATCGCATCAACGCTTAACTGAACGTCAGGTCCGCGGAATGCGCAAAACCCTTGGAAAAATTAAGCACGCAGGGCGGGAAGAAATCCCGTGCAAAGTTCCGGTGACTCGGACCGAAACACGGCAAAGTCCGAGTTTCGGTATCGTTTTGTCGGTGAGAAATGGTGGGTTGCATCCTGCCGAATTAACTCCCCATTCCATAGCCTTGTCTTATACTCGGATCTTGTTTTCTGCTCATTGACGCGACTTGTCGACAGTTTTCCAGCACGAGTGGGCGGGTCGACGTTGCGCAACTTATCGTCAGATCAGAGCTGTGAACCATTGGCAAAGCGTGCACCCATGTTTGGCGTTTTCTCTGACGGGATCCAGACTATGTGCATGTGGATGTCCACCAGGCTGATGCTTTCCACATTGAGGCCCTTGCAGACTGGCAAAGACGCCCCGC